CTGCTAACTTCCGCCGTTGTATCCTGGAAGTAGTCATAGCCAGTATGCCAATATGAAGATGAATGAGTGTGGTTGTGTATTAATAAGGTTTTATTTAAAGACACTGGAATTTGGATGTCATATGATTATCATGGTTCATAAAATAATATTCTTCTTTTGATGCTTTTCAACCATTATAATTGTGGGTCATACAAACACAGGCCGTAAAAACATTCTTGCTTGTGGGATGTACACATACCAGTTGTGGGCCAGACTCTGCTTGTAGGCAACTGGATTCCTGGTGTACAGGACCCCGTGTCTTCGGGACTGCCTACTTCTGCAACCTCACTTCCCCCACTTTGTGCCATCCCCCTAAGCTTTAATGTCCTAACTCTCGTATTCTACCCCAGCCAGCTCCTTTCTTCAGGAAGTTTCTGCACTTCCTGTCTTCCTGGAGCCTCCTCATTTGGCTCTTCACCATGACCCACTTCTGTTCAGCCTTACCTGTCAGTGTAAGTGCCACCTGCTTGGGGACAACAGACCTGACCATCTTATCTAAAGTAGTACCCCCTGTCCCACAAACCCCCCAAAGCTACCATATGACCCAGATTTTTTTCCTAAACAGCATTATTGGTCAACAGCTGTAATTATGTACCTTGTCTATTTACCTGTTCATTGTCCACCTGTCCACTACATGAGAACAGGAACACTGCTTTCTTACTTACTATGGTAGCCCAGCCTGCCACCCTGCTAGGAACATAGTGTTCAATCAGTATTGTAGAAGGATGAATGAATCAACAACCTAAGATCCTAGTTTTATACAGTGAGTTAATAATACTTGATATCCTCACTTGTAAAATGGTGATGAGAATCAAATGAGAATGTGTTCTTAAGACTACGCAGAGTTATATGAAGGGAAGATGGTAAGTCATTATGACAGTTCCGTAGACAGACCACAGAAGTCAACCGCCCACTTTTCCCATCCTCTTCTATTACAGAAGCTAACTAATGGGGAGAATAGTAAAGTAATATCAGTATGAATGAGGACATTTTCCTTCCTGGTCCCTGATATTCCCCACAGACAGGAAAGTGGCTATATGTATAATTTTATGTTGGCTGCAGCAAAAGCAATTATTTATTTCTTAACATGTAGTATTGCTATCAGTGGAAGTGGGGCTCTTGGGGTACAGCTGGAATAAGAATTTCTGGAGACCCCCACAGGAGAATGAGACCTACAGAAAGCTTTATTTCTGTGGAACCAAACCCCTGAGTTTCCAAGGCCCCTCTACCACCTTCCTGCCAAGAAGAATTCCCATTTTGCTTCCAGCAGAGAAGAAGCCAGTGTTCCAGAATCTCTGTTCCATGTGAGGGCACCATCCAATCCAGCATCAGACAAGCTGAGAGTGTGCATCCTGCTGCAGGAAGTCCACCATCCACTGTGTGTGGGGTCTGCATGGCCGTGGGTCATGTGCTACGGAGGGAACACAGGGGAGTGCAAAGTCCAAGGACCTGGAGAACCAAGAGTGAGCAAGAGCAGGAACTCCTTTGTTTGGGGGGATATATATTCCCAGACTTTGGTGGGTTTGCAATGGCCCTGTCCACTCTAGCCAACCCATGGCTTCCCAGGCTTCACTGATAGGCAACTATCTTCCCCAGTCACCCTGATTCACTGCGCAGGCACCATCTCCCCTTAGGTGGACCCCTCCCCCAGGGACCTGCTGGGAATGGGCAAGTGGTTCCCTGGGGAGTGAAACTGCAGCTTCCTGGAGAAGCTGCCCAAATGGCCATGCTTATAATGTTTAGCCTCCCTTTTGCTCCTTTCCTATTATTAATAACTAGCTAATTGCAATGGTATCAGCCCCTCACCCCCCTCTAAAGAGAAACTAGCTTCTTTGTAATCTTACAAATGGTGAATAGATGAAGGTCTCTATCTTCTTGTAATGGTTTCATGCTGTCAATGGGCATAGGCCTGCCTATCCCAAGGCTCAGAGGCTCTCCTGTGACTGACAGAGGAACAAGGGCAATTGGGCTGAAACTGGCTCTCTGACATCTCCCAAAGGGCCCTGGATTGCGAGAGAGTGCAGGCCAGGCCGAGGACCCCACCAGTGCACGAATCTGTGCATTGGGCCTCTAGTAAATATATAAGTTCTTTGGTTTATCACTTCTTGTCCTCCCCACAATAAAAGAGTCATGGCAACACATTTCTTTGCATAAGTTCAATAAGACCAGTTTTAAACTACGTGGTCTTATTAACCAAGATTTTGACTGAAATGGCATGTCTGAGAAAGACATGTATGGACTACGGATGTCACCAGAAAGCCTTAAGGAATTAAGGTTGACTTTCAAAGCCAATCAAAGTCCATTGCAAAAATGGCCTGATGCCTTGTCTGGTCACATGGCTCATGGCAATCTTTCCAGGTAAGGAATGAAGGTTATTTTCCTGAAAGATGGCAAGAAAGGAACCTCAAGGCATTCGGGGGATCTCGAGGACTTGAGGAATCAACCAAAACCTACAGGTATCACAGGCAAAGCCTATGGCAACTGTGGCTTGGTTTCTTTGCCCTGAGGTGCTGACTACAGCTCAGTCTAAAGATTGCTTATGAAAAATTCCAGCAAAGCAAATTTGAAAGCACCTGTGTGATTGATTTGATCAGTTGCTATTCTTGTGTTTATGTAAATAATCAGGCCAAATTAGAACTGGACTTATTACAGTCTCTTTGAAAATAAGGGTAATCTTAGAGAGGAAAAATTGTGTCTCAATGAAAATCACAATATTCACTGGTGGCTATTGTACTCCAGTGTCGTTAACTGTCTTCAATGTTTTTCTTTTAAGGCTGTGTCTGTGTGTGCCATTGAGGCCTCAGCACCTGATGACATCAACAGAGATGTTCTCACTACAGAGGACCCCTCAGAATGTCACTGCTTGCTTTCATTCCAGCAACAGCCTTACACCTGGACGTCTAATAAATTGGTTTGTGATTTGCTATGTGTATTAACCTTTGTGGTTTGTGTTCGAATATTTTAATAGACTGTGTGCCTATGTCCTTAGTTACCTGGTTGCTGGTGCACCCGGTGTAAGCCTCACGTTAGAAGCCATCTGCATCACCTCTCCTGAAGTGAGGCTCAATGATTTGGACATATGTTTGAGTGGATGACGTACGGATGGCCTATTGGCTTTATTTGAAACTGCTTTCCCTTTTCTGCCCACATGGTTCAGACAGAATAGCCCCAAAGTTTCTGATGGGGAAATCTTAGAATATTTTCCTTTGCTTCATTTGAGTTAAGTATGGTGGACAGAAGGGCTTCAGCAAGGTGTGACACGCGTGCCTGCAGTGAAGCCACTTCTCCAGCCTCATCTGGAACATTGTAAAGTCAGTCTTTCCCTTTGTCACATGGGTTTTTACCGGTCACCAAACATTCAGTTGCTATAAGTGTCCTCACTTTTTAATGATGCCTTTTAACCTTCTTGTCGAGTTGGTCACTTCTAGAATCCAAAAATGGCAGCTTGTCCAGCACATCATCCTCTGACATTGCCTATGCCACCTCCCAGGGACCCAGACTGACCTGGATTTTGCAAAATCCCTCTCCCATCCCATGTGCTCCCTTGTCCCTCTGTCAGTCACAGGAGAGCCTCTGAGCCTTGGGATAGGCAGGCCTATGCCCATTGACAGCATGAAACCCTTACAAGAAGATAGAGACCTTCATCTATTCACCATTTGTAAGATTACAAAGAAGCTAGTGTCTCTTTAGAGGGGGGTGGGGGGCTGATACCATTGCAATTAGCTAGTTATTAATAATAGGAAAGGAGCAAAAGGGAGGCTAAACATTATAAGCATGGCCATTTGGGCAGCTTCTCCAGGAAGCTGCAGTTTCACTCCCCAGGGAACCACTGGCCCATTCCCTGCAGGTCCCTGGGGGAGGGGTCCGCCTAAGGGGAGATGGTGCCTGCGCAGGTAGGTTGTGGTGTCTGGGGAAGGTTTCTGTCAGTCAGACCTGGGGACAGAGGTCATGGCCAGAGTGGACACGGCCACTGCATGCCCGTGAAAATTTGGGAATACATAATGCCCTAAACACAGAAATTCTCTCTCTCCTTTAGCTCATTCTTGGCTCCTGGTTCCTTTGACCTTGTAATCGCCCGTGTTTCCTCCAGAGCTATGTGGACCAAGGCTCACACACAATGGACTGATGGACTGCAGTGGGGAACCCAAGCTAAACTAGCCTGACGCTGGGCTGGATACCCCCTAACATGGAACAGCAGCTCTGCTGAAGCCACAACTAATCACCTTCAGGGAATTAAGGGAAATGGGACCTTGGAAACTCAGGAGGGTGATTTCCACAGAAATATCGCTTTCCAAACATCTCCTCCTCTTGAACAAGTCTCAGAAAATCCCTTTCCTTGGGAACTGGTGGAGACAAGGACCTCTCACCATGGGAACAAAAGGAGGTATTTTATATCCGTTGTCCTATCTGATAGTCACAACCATGGTGAAAAAAATCAGCATGTGCCCATTATGAAGGTGAAAGGAATTCGAGGAATCTAGCAAGCAGCTAAGCCAGGGCCATAACCCAGCTTTATCTGACTTCTTCTCTGGGACAGGAGGCTCCTCCCCAGTGACGTGCAGAGCTTCTGACTGCCCGTCAACACCAGGGCACCGGTCAAGCCTGGGTGGCTTCTCATGGCAGGAGCAAGCCATCTGGGGTTTACGTTTATTTCTAGCAAAATGAAGAATTTTTTTTATTATCTCTTCAGAAGGTAGACTTTTTTGGTCCTCAACTTAAAAAACAAAACAAAAAACATTTTGTTTATTTTAGCTTAAACCAATCCAAAGCACACTGACTCATTATCTTCTCTGTTTGCAGGCAGGCTTTACGTCTGTCGGGAAAGGGCAGAGTGAGTTTGGGGATCTGTCACGTAGAGAACAGCTAAGAACCAGCCACAGGCTAAACATGGCTTGGTATTTTGTAAGATGTGAGCATAAGCTGCTATGTTTCTGTCGACGTAAGAAACATTCAAACCTGTGAAGAATTTTCGTGAGTTTATTTGAGCCAAACTGTCGACAATTGTCGGGAGGCAGAATCTCAACAGATTGGGTTGATGCTCCAGAGAATGGCAGTTTTTCACCTTGTTTTATACATTACAGTCAAAGGAGAGGTAGGTGGGTTACAGGAAATCCATTGGTGACAGATTAGGGAGGAGGGAGAGATCAAAGCAGGGAAACCTCTAGGATTGGATAAAAAGTAAAATGATAGACAGGTACCTCTTTTGCTTTAGGTGGGTGCAGGATAGTTAACAGTGAACAATGAAGTCAATAACAATGAGGGGAGGTGTGGTCTCCGCAGAGCAGTGCCTGTGCTTTGAGGGGTCCAGAAAGAGGGATGTTGTTTTCACATTCCAGTATGTTGTCGTAGATGCAAAAAGACAAGAGGCTCAGTTAAGGTAAAGAGTGACCTTTGTCAGGGAGGATACCAGCCTACGACATGACTACCCACCATCACTGCTTTTAGTTAAAAAGTTTTCATTTCAGACCATCCTTTGTGGTTACTGCCGGTCTCTGAGTGTGTAAGGCAGCCATGCAGGCCTCCCTGAACGCGTCAGGCTTGGTGTGTGGTCCCTTTTGTCCACATCACCTCAGGATGTTAGCCCTACCAGGGTAGGATCTGGTTGTGTCAATGAAAATGGGCATCATTTCCTGGGCATACATTTTCCTACATGGTTTATTTAAAATCTATGCTTAACATATCATGACTTTAAAAACGGAGTCTATGTAAAGACGAACAACAACAACTAGTAATGGAACAATTGTAACAACATCGGCAATAACAGTCAGTGAGTGTGGAACACGGGTCTGTGGCTCTTGGCAGCATGGCGCCTGCTGGGGCTCGTTTCCTTTCTCTCTGACCCACATTCTACTCTGTGGACGGTTCCTGAGGCACCTCCGGGCTGGGCCGCGGTGAGGCCAGACGCTCCCACAAGGGCAGGAAGCGTTTTGGTGCTGGCCTTCCACCCGGGGATGGGTTTCCATCTCCTCAGCCTGATGACTCACCGGGACGCCCGACCTGAAGGGACCGGGCTCTGTGCTGCCCAGCGTCCTCCGTCTCCATCAGCAGCCGGTGGCCCTGGGCCCTCACACTCTCAATGGACATTTACAAAACAACAGTGACCACAGTGACAGCGGAACACACGACGGAGCGCAGACCACTCAGCACTGAATGAGGCCGCTCTGGGTTGACCGAGGACAGCTTCCTTTATGAAAGCGGCTACGGACCACGCGATGGAGAGGCCCGCGGGCCGGAGCGGCCAGAGCTGCATGCGGAGCCCAGGCAGGAGCACGCAGGTGCCACAGGCATTCACAGGAACTTAGTGATGCGGGGAGGGGTGGTTTCTTTCTCACAGAGACCTCCTTCCTCCAGTGAACGCACCTGGTCAGCATAGCACAGCCCTCAGCGAGGAAGAAACCAATATACCTCTGAAAGCAGAGGCTGAGGCTGGTCTAGGCATCACCAAAATACATGGCTATTCTCACCTCGAGTGGCAATCAGAGAGAGAGCCAGCACACGTTTCCCCAGTGCCCAAGAATAAACAGCTGCAAAATTTCATTTTTCCAGGAGTGCTGGCAGGTACGTGGCACCATGTCACACATTTATAAGAACTAATTGTATATTAAGTTTGACTGCTCATCAATTTTAAACCTACATACACTGAGCGTAATATTACACGTACTTAAAAATCAAGTTATTTCTTCTACGTATATTATAGGGGCAATTTTTTCCTTCCCACGATTTTTCATAATAGCTAGTCACTTTCCTAGGAAAAATTCAATGTATTGAAGTATTAAAGAAAAGCAAATCACATTGTAATCCCGTCTTTAAAGATGAAGAGCATCTTCCATCACCTAAGGAAACACCCCCCTTCACCTTTGTAAAGTGAACATTAAACTAAATAGACGCTAACTCGCTCCTTCCCCAGCTTCCTAGGCCAGTCTGGTTCCTCCTGGCCGGGCAGCTCGTGCCCTGGGTTCTCACGGGGGCAGGATTACAATTTAAAAGCAAACAGCTCTGTCCCTCACCATCTGAGCACTTCGTGGAACAGTGCAGCTGTGACGGAGCCTGTGAGAGTCAGAGGCGGCTGTCTGCATGCTCGCACACACATTAGAGTAAGTTCAGAGGAGCAATCAATCGGTAATGCCTTCCGACTGAACGCTGGGTGGCGGTGCCCAGGCTACACGGAACGCCTCCCTTTTCACTACACTGGACGCTTCCTCAGAGACAAGGACACTAGGCGAGTGAAAGAAGAGGCTTTGTTTAATACAAATGCACTAGTAGGAAGACCCATGATGGTAATGCCAAACACAACTGGAGGACAATCAGGATGCATTCCAAATACCACATCAGCCTACAATGCAAGAAAATTAGCAACAGTGATTTATCAAACTGACATCACTCTAGAAAATATTATTTTTATTTATTTTTTGCAAAATCATCTTTCAAATATAAGGTTATTTTAAAATAATTCTTTGGTTAAAGTATAATTCAAATAAAAAGTAGAAACTGCTGGAAGCCCTTCACTACAGGGTGGAAAATACTGTCCTCTTTCAGCCACCAGATGGCCATTTAATCAGCCATTCAGATTCTGTGGGTCCAAATGTAATGGAAACACTGTACCCGGTACTGAGCTGGGGTAAAGCCCAAGGCCCTGGCTACCGACCAGCTGGAGAGGAAACTGCAGGAAAACGGGCCGTCACTCCTGTCCCCCAGGAGAGACGTGGCTGTAAGTCAGGGAAACCAAGAGCCACGCATGCGTGGTACTGGGGTGTTGGAGGGGACGCGTGCACTAGAGCAAAATGCTGCAGACTCTCAAGCCTCGCTGAAACCCTCCCGTTAACGCCCCCTCAGGTTGTCTCAGGTACTTTCTGCATTAAAGGAGACAATGCCTTCTGCAAGGAGCCATTGGCCTGATGGGCACTTCCTCTCCCTTCCTTTCTTCTCTCCGCCCCCAACCGTCAATCAACATTTGTTCTTAGAGAGCATCAGGCTGGGATCAAAAATAACCAGCCTGCACTTCAGGTTGTAATATTAGCCCAGAATTTTGGGATGAATATGACATCATGTTTCTTTTATTACACATACATTCAAGATGATTTCCAAAGGATTTCTCATTTGGAGTTTAAGTTTGGTTGTTTAAATAAATGTGAAAAAGAATTTAATGTGAATTCAGATTTTCAGGCCATTTTGAAAAATAATCTGGATAATTAAAGCCAAGGAATGAACTCTTTGTTTACTCAAGGTTTCCCACCTGAATTATTCAGATTTCAGGTGGGAAATCTGAATGATTTCAGTCTCTGCCTCCTTTTGCTCATGCAGACAACAGCCCAAGGCTCCGTGCACACTGGACCAAAGGCAATGGATTGCAGTCCATCCTGGGACTCAGACCCCCAGGGGGAGGGGGAGGAGAGCCCATCGGAACTTGGTTCTGTGTGAGTACAGACACAGCCCAGAACATGCTGCTATTGCCAAGGAGCCGCATGGGAGGGACCCGGGCATTCTCCTGGGCACTGAAGCCATGGGCATGTGCAGAGCTAATACACACTGAGTCTGCCTGAGCAGTGGCTCATGCCCTTATGGATGAAAGAATGACTGGCCGCCAGTGTGGCTCCAAGGCTGAGTGTTGGCCCTGGCACCTAGAAGCCAGCAGTTCCCTTCGGTTCCCGGTCAGGGCACAAGCCCGGGCCATGGGCTCCATCCCAAGTAGGGGGCGTGCCGGGGCAGCCGTTCAATGTTGATGTTTCTCTCTCATTGATGTTTCTCTCTCTCTCTCCCTTTCTCTCTCTAAAATCAATAAAAGCATATTTAAAAAAAAGAAGAATGAATGGCAGCTCTCCTAGAGTAAGGATAAAAAACAGCCCTTTAATGAGTATGTCACCATTTGAAGATTAAAACATTCATATTAACCAATGGTGTCAGCATAGAGTTACTTCCACACTCAGAAGCTGTTTGCACAATGCTAGAAATCAAGGTTTGCTTCTTAAAATGTAAAATTCACGACACATTTCTTTAGGTGACTTTAAAACCCCTCTCGAACCCTCCAGCTGATCAGCACACATTCCCTCTTTGTTTCAAGGCTCATCAAATTCCCGTGTCGAACAGGCCCGTGGACCTGTTTCACACACCAGGCTTCATGCACGTGGGTTTTGAAGCTTCTTCGATGCTACCGTATCTATTGACTTGATTTGCACTGATGCTCCCTTTGTGTGGCGCACATCCTCACACAGTGAGCTGCTCCGCACCTGGCCACCGTCTGCCGCCTGCGGCCCTCAGCTGGCCACACAACCAAACAGACGCTGACAACTGATGTTTTGGCTTGATTGTCTTTCTTTTTTTCTTTTTTCTTTTTTTTTAATAAACTCCCTCTAAATCCGGGAAGCAGGTCTGAAGGGAAGCCACAGGGTGTGGTTCTCCCAACTGCCTCTAATTAGCTCTGTCTACATATTTAAAATTATCCTAGAAAAGCAAACAAAAATGACAGCTCAAGTAGCAGTGCGATCGTAATTGTCACCACTTAAGTTAGTTCCCTGACTCGGTCTGCACATCCCTGGGGTAGCTGGGGCCCCTGTGGCCGGCCTGGCATGACTGACGTGCACTGCATGTGAGCGGACGCCGCCCTGCCCCGGCGCGGTTGCAGATGTCCATATTGCACAAGAATGGGCTTTCTGCTCATTCCAACACTGTATGTAACGCACATCCTTTCAGAGCGTCAGCTTCCTTAACTGGTTCCCAGAGTCCGGACTCGAGGGCCGAGGACGAGCAGCACGGCAGTTCAGAAGTGCTGGGCTCCTTTGGTGGCAACACGGATCATGCAGCCACTTCGTGGTTTTCAATTCTTTGTTCCTACAATTGACTACTTCACACACTTATTTCCTCCTGAGTGTCCACAAGTGCTTCAGAGAGCAAAAGTGCTTCGTCTGCCCTTTCACAGAGCATGGCTCTGCCCAGAGCGTGGCCAGGGGCTCGGGACGCTTGAGCCGGGTCCCTGCCACCCTCTGGGCAGCGTCGGAGCCGGACGCCCTTGTGGTCGTCTCCACGGCAGTAGTTGAAGTGTAACCTCAGAACAGCTCTCTACCGGCACGTTTTCTGATAACCTGAGAAGAACCCTTCAGCGTGGCTTTGCCTCACTGGAACATGGAGTTCGAAAGGGCATCCCACCACCTCACAGGCAGCTCCGGTCCCTCCAGCTGGGGCCGCACCTGCTCCTTCTCCGGCACCCCTCCACGGGCTGGCTCCTCCCTCCGGGAGCCGCGGGGTCGGGCCACGGAGGAAGGAAGGCTACAGCCTCTGCAGAAGCAGGTGCCTCGACGTAGGAAGACAAGTCCCAAAAGCCTTGCTAACCAGAAAAGAGTCCAGGGAGAATGAGCTTTGTCTCTGAATCCAGTTTTTTTCTTATGCACACAGTCTCCATCACGAGCATTTTAAAGCATGAAAGGGAGTAGGCTAAGTTATTCTGCGCTGTCACGTATAGCGTGGTGCAGACCTCTTCGTTGTTACTAAACACACAACAAGACACGTCTCCCCAAGGCTTCCCAAAGCCTGTTTCCCTCCTCGGGGCGTGGCTCAGTCTTGTAGCAACGTCTCTCTCCAGTTGAAGCCCCCAGTGGGTCCATGGGTGAGAGGAAGGATGGGTGGGTCCCTCAGCTGCCAGATTCCAGTTTCTCCCAGTTCTTCACAGGAGCAAAACCCCAAGTACGGAATCTGAAGTAAGAGTAGTAAAGAACAGGAAACAGAGGTTTAATGCTGCAAGTTTTACCTAAAACAGAGATCTTCAGGTGGCCCTTGAAAATAAGTATTCATAGGAATTAATCAGGGCTTTGTAGACAAGCATCCCCAAAACCCATAAAGAAAATGAAATGGAAAAAGCTGCTAGACTCGAGGTCAGAGCAGTTACACTGCAAAAGGACTCATCAGAAGGATTCATTATATGTGAGCTCTTCAGTGCGGTTAACTGCCCACAGCTGGCTGCTCGGTGGTGTGGCAGGAATGAGGACAGTACATGAAGCTGAGGTGCTGGGAGTTAATTCCTAATTTCTTAAAAAATATGTTTTTATTGATTTTTAGAGAGGAAGGGAGAGAGAGAGAGAGTAACATCAATGAGAGAGAAACATCTATCAGCTGCCTCCTGCACGCCCCAATGGGGATCGAGCCCACAACCCGGGCAAGTGCCCGGATCCGGAATCAAACTGGTGACCTCTTGGTGCACGGGATGATGCTCAACCACTGAGCCATACAGGCCAGGCAATTCCTAATTTCATAATTGCAAGTCAAGCTGAAAACGAAGCGTAAACATTTCTGAAATTATAGTTAGACAATAGGAAAAATTATTCAATTTTTGAAAAGCTGTTGGTTTCACCCAGCTTTATTTATTTATTTATTTATTTATTTATTTATTTATTTATTTATTTCCATGTGTATCTGCAACATGCAGAGTTGAAGCTGGTCCTTCCTCACTTCAGGACTCATGGATTTTAGAAGCTTATTTGTGTGTGTGTCCAGAGCTGCATTATAAACAAGACAAAAATCTCTGCCCTCAAGCCGCTTACAGAGCAGTGGGAAGGACAGAAGCATAAATAAGCTTTAAAAAACATGGAAAAGAATTGCAATGGAGTTTGAGCCAGGTTCTCCGGGGCACAGAGAGGGAACATCTGAGTGTCCTGGAGGGAAGTGGGGGGTGGGGGGAGGTTCATGGCAGGAAAAGGAGTTGTCAGCCAGCCTCTCGGACTCTGTCTCCCTGCCCTCTCTTGGGTTTGCCCTTCAGCCTGACAGTTTCAATCACTGCTTCCCATGCCTGCCAGCCAGGCCGCTCCTCACCGAGCTGTCAGACGCTGAGCTCTGGCTCACTCACCGCTCTTCCTCCCACCCCCAGCCCCTCAGGGGACGCCAGACAATGTGCTTAGATTGTTTAGCTACTTCCTAAATTTTAGCTCAGAAACTAGAACTAGGTCAAGCAGTTCTTTTTCTCTTATACAAGACCTAATAAAGTACCTTACACAGGTTACCACCACTCAGTAATCTTGGTGATAGAGTCAATAAATGCATCTTCCCAGTTCAGAACACTCAGCTGCCAGCAGTCATTGAATGGTTCTAAAATCGCTGGGGCCACAGGGCCCTGAAATGCAAGCATGGATTACCTTACCTTTCGGACCATTTGTACGAAGTCCTTGGAGTTCTGAGGTGACAGGCCCTGAAGTTGGCAGGTACATGCTTCGAGGGAAGATGCATGGGCCACAATCAAGATGTTATTTCCTGGGGGGGAAAGCAAGAACTGGGAAGACCATTTCTATCAAGACACATGCAAACTTTGTAAACACCGGAAGCCAAACCTGGGCAGGGGCAGACATTCTCAAGGAGACAACTTGGCCAAACAATATTTCGGAAATACTTAGTATTGTGAAGGCAGCCTAATATCATTTTTAACAATTTAATCATAAAATAACTATAGATTCATAGGAGGTTACAAATGTAGTTTACATGCACCATCAAATCACTGTTGACCTTTGAACAACATGGGTTTGAATGTGTGGATCCACTATGTGCAGATTTTTTCATTAGTTGCTGTAAATGCATTTTCTCTTATGATGTTCTTAATAACATTTGTTTTTGTAGCTCACATTATTGTAAGAATAGTATCCTATCTAATAAAAGAGTAATATGCAAATTGACCATCACTCCAACACACAAGATGGCCACCCCCATGTGGACACAAGATGGCCTGCAGGGGAAGGCAGTTGTGGGCGATCAGGCCAGCAGGGGAGGGCAGTTGGGGGCAACCGGGCCTGCAAGGAGGGCAGTTAGGACTGACCAGGCCTGCACAAGAGGGCAATTGGGGGCTACCAGGCTGGCAGGGGAGGGCAGTTAGGGACAACCAGGCTGGCAGGGGAGGGCAGTTAGGGGGGACTGGGCTAGCAAGGGAGGGCAGTTGGGGGCAATCGGGCTGGCAAGGTAGCAGTTAGATGTCGATCAGGCTGGCAGGGGAGTGGTTAGGGGGTGATCAGGCTGGCAGACAGAAGCAGTTAGGGGCAATCAGGCAGGCAGGCAGGTGACGGGTTGGGAGCCAGCAGTCCTGGATTGTGAGAGGGATGTCTGACTGCCCACTAGGATCGGGCCTAAATGGGCAGTCGGACATCCCTCGAGGGGTCCCAGATTGGAGAGGGTGCAGGCTGGGCTGAGGGACACACACCCCTCTGTGCACGGATTTTGTGCACCAGGCCTCTAGTTAATACATAAACAAACAAAATATGTGTCAACTAATGGTTCAATAGGCTTCCAGTCAACAGTAGAGCTTTGGGAGAGTCAATTACAGTTTACATTAACACTATTATTTTGTATGAGTTATATGTGGATTCCCAGCTGCATAGAGGCTGGCACCCTTAACCCTGTGTTACTCAAGGGTCAACTTTACATGCCATAGACATCATGTTATACATAAGTAAGTATATGCACACCAACATATATTTACAGATTGCGTGGTATGTATATAAACTATATATGCTACACATAGATGTACACACACACGGGCCAGGGAAGTCCCAGGCACCCTCCACTGGCAGCTTCTTGCCTAACTGCTAAGCTGTCACAATCAGGAAATGCATACCGGTGCACATCACTCACTTACGTTTCACCAGGTTGATCCAGTTCCATCACATGCAACCTTTTGTAAACACCACCACGATCAAGATACAAACCTGTTCTTTGTCTACAGTGTGCTCTGTTCCGAGCATTACAGCACTCTCCCACTCGCCCCCGCCCCCCCGCCCGCCAATGGTTTCATTAAATACTGTGAGTGTATTTTCCACGTTGCCGCACTGAGACCTTCTGGTTGAGAACATGTTGGGTCTCTTTCTAGTAGGATCTCGGAGTGGTAATGAAGTGAGCAATGACTGAAAGGGGGAATCACTCATAATACTGTGGAGCAGGGATTTCCATTGTTAACATTTTGGTATATATAATGCCAGTCTTTGCTCTATAAAGATTCATATTTTAACTTGAAAAAAGCGATGAGAATGTATATACTCTTCTGTAACCTCCCTTATTTTTACTAGACATTTTATAGTGAAGACTTCTACATATCATTAAATGTTTGAGTTCAGTGTTTATATAATTCAATAGCAAACAGACTTGAGTCTAACACAGCTGTGGGCAAACTACGGCCCGCGGGCCGGATCCTGCCCGTTTGAAATGAATAAAACTAAAAAAAAGACCGTACCCTTTTATGTAATGATGTTTACTTTGAATTTATATTAGTTCACACAAACACTCCATCCATGCTTTTGTTCCGGCCCTCCGGTCCAGTTTAAGAACCCATTGTGGCCCTCGAGTCAAAAAGTTTGCCCAACCCTGGTCTAACAGAACACTCCTTGGTTGGGGGCAGCAGTGATGGGATGTGCATTTGCATAGGGATATTTGTGTGGGGGTGTTCACCCACCTGCGTCAAATTATAGGAAAAACAATGGTATGCTAAAGAACTTCTAGAAACTGCTGGGGAATCTCCTTCACAGAATGCAAGAAACATCTAAGTTACTTCATATCAAAACTGAGTCTGGTGTATTCCCATGGAATGCCTACCATTCCAGGTATTCAAGGGAATGTTGCAAATTTAACATGAAAGCATACACAAGAGTCTGGAAAAATTTATTAAGCAAGTTAAAACATCTTGACTAGCCTATTAACCATGATGGAGAAATGGTCACATATTTAAATATGGAATCCAAAATAACACCACTTACCTTTACTTTTACATTCACTTATTATTTCTTTTGTTACTTGGAAACTTCTACTGATGTAAGTGTCATAGGATTCTGAAACCACTAATTTGCTGACTGGAATGTGAGGTCTGTAATAGAAAATGAACAAAGGCAATAAAACATTTTGATCCTAAGACAAAGCAATTGATATTACTCTTAACTTTTATTTCAAGACCCTTCTAAAATTCCCATAATTCTTTTTACCCGTTCCTAGAAGGGAAGGAGGTAGAGTATCCCCTCTTAGACATGGGGTTGAAATGTACACGATGCACAGAAATAAAGGCCCTGGGTGCACAGTGTCAGAGTGACCAGCTCAGAAATGAAGCAGTCAGTGCAGGCTTCAGCTGTTACTGGTAAATCTACACTAATAAAAGACAAAGATGCTAATTGATCATACCTTCGCTACACCCATCAGCCAATCAGAAGAGTATGCAAATTAACCCAACAAAGATGGCCGTTAAATTTGCATACTGCAGGTGGGGCGTGGCTGGTGCCATCCACCGCCCGCCCCACAGTGGGATCAGGCCTGCCATGGGCGACCCGGGGTGCCCGGGGCGGCAAGGCAGTGCCATCCGCCGCCTGCCCCACTGCGGGTTCAGGCCTGCCGTGGGCGACCTGGGGAGGCGGGGCAGGCACCGAGGGATAGGGCCTGCCATCTGCCACCCAGGGAGCGGGCCTAAGCCAACAGGTGGTCATATCCCGAGGAGTCCCAGACTGTGAGAGGGCACAGGTCGGGCTGAGGGGCACCCCTTACCCCCGCCAGTGCACAGATTTTTGTGCACTGGGCCTCTAGGGATTAATAAGCAGCTTGGCCAGTTTTATTGACTATCAGTCCCAGGTCACACAGCCAAGAGGAAGCAAAGTGGAGGTTAGATCTCATTACCTATTCAGAGCACCAGAGATTTCCTACGCCCCTTTTTAGTAGCCTTACAAACAATAACCCGCAAGGATAGGTTTTATTTCTTAACATGTTGTTCCAGCTTTCTTGGGATATAACTGACATATAGCACGGTGTAATGTTTGGTGTATGACATGGTGATGTAATACACATGTATTGCAAAATGATTAGCACCGTAGCCCTATCCAACATATCCATCATGTAACATAACTACCATTTCTGTTTTCGTAGATGGAATAATTAAGATGTACTCTCTTAGCAGCTTTAAAGTGCATGGTAATTATTATTAACTATAAGCACATTACAGTTATATACATTAGATCCCCGAACATATTTATCTTGTAACTGGGAGTTTGTACCCTTTGACCAACATCTCCCGTTTCCCCCCAGGCCTGGAAACCACCGCTCTAGTGTCTGATTCTCTGAGTTTGGTTTTTGTAGATTCCACATAAGTGATGTGTTTAGATGTCTCTGAGATCCTGTTTTCCTTTCCTTTGGCTACAAACCAGAGGAGGATTGTTGGGCCATACCATAGCCTATTTTCAATTTCTTCAGAAATCTCCATTCTGCTGTCCATAGGCCAACCCAGGTACCACCCTATAAAAGGTTCCCTTTCCTTCACATTCTTGCCAAGGGCAGGTAGCTTTTGCATTCTGATGATAAGCATTGGAATGGGTGTGAGGTGACAACTCATTGTGGCTTTGATTTTCATTTCATTGATGAGTGATGTTCAGCATCTTGTCATGTACTGTGGGCCATTTGTATGTCTTCTTTGAAAAAATACCTATTCGGTCATCCCGTCATTTTTAAACCTAAATTTCATTTTTCAATGACAGTTTACATTTACAGTATTATTTTGTATGAGTTTCAGGTGGACAGCGTAGTGGTTAGACAATCACATATTTTACAAAGTGGCCGCCCAATATTTCCTGGACCCTCCTGGCACCGTACGAAGCTATGACGTGTTGTTGACTATATTCCCTGTGCTGTCTTATACCCCAGGGCTGCTCTGTAAATACCAATTTGTACTTCCTGATCCCTTCACCTCTCACCCAGGCCCCAATTCCATCTCCCCTCTGGCAACCATCATGGTCTCTGTGTCCATGAGTCTGTTTCAGTTTTGTTTGTTCATTTATTCTGTTCTTCAGATCTCACATGTAGGTGAAATTACGTGGTATCTGTCTTTTTCTGACTGGCTTACTTTACTTAACATAATACTCTCTGCATCCATCCATGATGTCACAAATGGTAAGATTTCATGCTTTTTATTTTAAGGCCAAGTCATACTCTGCTGTAAGGAGTTGGGCCACAGGCAGGGTAAGCGGTCTGAGATCCTGTACATCAGAGGTTCTCAGCCTGTGGGTCGCGACCCCTTTGGGGGTCTAACGACCCTTTCACAGGGGTCACCTAAGACCATCGGAAAACACATATATAATTACATATTGTTTTTGTGATTAATCACTGTGCTTTAATTATGTTCAATCTGTAACAATGAATTGGGGGTCACCACCACATGAGGAGCTGTGTTAAAGGGTCGCGGCATCAGGAAGGTTGAGAACCACTGCTGTACACCCAGGCTTTTTTCATACTCAGGACACGTCCTTCTCTCCGTCGCAGCTGCTCTCCCTCACAGAGTTTCCTTCTTCACTCTAAGCCAGAGGATCTCAAATCCTCCTCCTCCTTCACTACGTTTGATCTCGCCACCATCCCCCGCCCCCCAGCCTATGGCTCCTCTGTCTCAGCAGCCTGAGAGCCCGCCACCCTGCCCAGCGGATCCCACCACCCGGCCTCACACCCTCTCCAGAGGGGTTTTTGGCTCTCTTCCTCCCCCACTCGGCACCAGCCTTAAAGTGCCCCTTTCAGGAAATCGCCAGCACCAAATCTGGCTTCATGCCCACAGCCATGCGCATACCCTCCACCGGCAGGCCCCTGCCCTCCCAGTCAGAGCGGATGCTGTCCCTGACAGGGGCCCACTGTAAATCTATCAGGAAGGGCAGGAAGGTGGCAGGTCTCAAGACCACATGGTTCTCTGCCAAGAAGGACTGAGAAAGCAGCCCACAAAGCAGTTAATTATTTAAAAAACTAGAGGCCCAGTGGTTAGGGTCCCTAGGCCTAGCCTGCGATCAGGGCCATTTTCCGCCGGCTCACCAGTCCCTGGCCACCACTGCCACCGCCAGCCAGCTGGTTCCCCTTGCAGGACCTCGTCCCGCCTGCCACTGCAAGCCAGCTACCGGGTTCCCCTCACAGGCCCTCGTCCGCCCCACCGCCACGGCTGCAAGCCAGCTGGTTCCCCTCGCCTGCCCCCCACATCATAGCGACTGGTTGAGCGGTCATTCCAGTCATTACACTTATGGTCTGGCCTTTTATTATATAGGATTAGCAGAGGTCACCCAGGAAAGACATGAAAATCTGCAGTCTTCCTCTCTCGCCTTACACAGGCCATAGAAAAATACATCAATCTTGACCCTACAAGCCCAGGGGGGACAAACCCCCCAATGAGACCTTTTAAACATGACCTTTAAGGTCTTTAATAATAGAGACAAGGAGACCCAAACCCCAAAACAAAGATGAGACCAGGCCAAGGCTGAAGCCCAGATGAAGGCCTTTCAGCTCCTAGCCACGGCTCTCATGACCCCAAAAGAAGTGCCGGTCCTCCAACTGCAGGTAAGTCAGGAGCTAAGCTTCCTCTGGGCCCTGCTTCAAATGCAACAAGAGAGGACACAGGCCAAGTCCTGCCCAAACCTGAGACCCCCGCCTGGGCCGGGCCCAAGGTGCGGAGGGAAGGCCACTGGAGATCAGGCTGCAGTCTGGCCCCTCCAGGTCGGATCTCAGCACGGCCGCCCTCTGGATCTGGTTTGGAGCTCCCAGACCTCCTGGGATTGGCCACCAAAGACTGAAGCTGCCCTGACAGGGCCCCACAGACTTACATCACCAGGGCAGAGCCTCGGGTAATGATTGTGGTGGCAGGTAAGCCAATCTCCTTTTTAATCAACACTGGGGCCACTTATTCTGCCCTCCCCGAATTCCCTGGGACCCTTGTCCTCCTCCTCAGTCTCTATTATGGGGGTTGACAAATTAGTCTCACAGTCAGTAGCCACCTCACCTCTACACTACATCTTACTAAATAACCGCTTATCCTCTCTTCTTGCCCAACCTGAATGGTATAGGCAGCCCCTCATAAAGCCCAGTTGTCCCAAACAACATTCACCAACTTCAGTTTCACTCACCCACAAAGCCATGCCACTCCTTAGATTGCCTTATCTCCTCCATCACTCTCCCCTCCTCTAAACAAGAAATACTCTCCTTTCTCGGCTCCGCTATGTACTCTCGCCTCTGAGTTCCCAACTTCAGTTTTCTTACAAAGCTCCTCCATAGCCTGACACGGCCAAGGGACTCCTCACTGAGCCTTTAGATCCCTAGGCCAGCATTCTCACCCCTTTAACTCTGAAAACTTCTCCGACCTCAGCGCCTTCTCACACACACCCCTTTTTCCAAAGAACAACCTTCTTTACTACAAAACTACAAATGCTTCCTTAACAGTCTGGCTATTATCAGAAGCTGAACTCATTATCACCCAAACCTTAGCATGTTATCTCTAAGGAAAAATGTGACAGTTTTAAATCCAAGCAGCGAGAGGCTTGGGAACAGACTGCTGGGCCTACTCCCTTCTCACCCTGCCTTTTCTCCAGCCTCATTTGCCTATACATAATTTCCAAAGTCTTTGGCAACTCTAAAACTTTGAAACATTGCTAGACATCTAAATATTCCAACAAGTTTTAAATTCACCAGATTTTAGCTTTTATTACAGAAAATCTACAAAGTAAATTTAGAATTGTTAATATAGTGTCTAGTGCTTTGTTAAAGATATATTTCTTAAAAGTGAGAATGTTCATAAATGTCAACCTAAGAAATGCTGGCTGCTTACTTTTAATTATCATTGGAAAATTAAGATTTAAAAATTGTATGGTTTTAATAATAGAAGGCATGGACATGCATTTTTAAAGAAAAAAAGAAAGTGAATTAAAATTATAAAAATGGTTATGAAAATTATAAAAGGTTTGTAGGGAAGAATATTTAAAAATTATATAAATAACATAAACCAGTAAGTCAGGACAAGCAGAATAGAAAAACTGAAATAATAAAACAGCAGTCCACAGCCACCTAGTAAATCCTATCTTCCCTAAACCAAGG